GTGTGTGTGTGTGTGTGTGTGTGTGTGTGTGTGTGTGTGTGTGTGTGTGTTTCACAAAATTTAAAACTGGCCTAAGAGCAGGAGAGAGATTAGACAATTTTGAGATTTAAAAAAAAAAAAAAAACAGGATTGTTGGGGAGAGCCACGTTTGGGCGTCCCTTGCCTCGGTGACTTTGGAGGCTGTGTGTGGAAAAGGATAGCACAGCAGCTGGAGAAAGCTCGGGTCCTTGAATGAGTATATGGCTCATAGAGCACTCTCTCCTTTCCCGCAGGCTGAATTTGGTGCTGATGAGAGGGGGAAAAATACACTTTTATTGCACAAAGCCGCTAAAGTTTGGGGGATATTACGGAATATCCCCCAGTACTCATTAGAAACACATGCAGCTGTTCAACCCTTTTTGGACTCCTAGAAATCGGCCTATTTATCCTTAGGATGTTCCCCGGGGTTGACTTCTTCTATGCATTCCTTATCTCAGAACTTTAACAGGAGAGCATGTGAGAATCCGATGACCTAATGGTTGTGTACGTGAATCTCAGCACACAAAATGAGGCACAGCTCGAAGGAAACCTGACAGACATGTGATCTCTCTGAAGCGTGCCCGTGACCCAGATCCGCCTCCACAGCAGCCTGCAGGGTCCCAGCTTCAGTCTTTTGAACTAAGATCTTTCTCCTTGATCTAGAGTCTAACTCCTACCTTCTTTATCTCCCTCTTCCTCCTGAGGGGTCATTATGTAAATCCAGAGTTTGTAAATACTGGTTTGTGTAATAAAACGTGTTCATAGATGGTTATGCCCCAATCCCCATGCACCCCACCTCATCCTGTATTCTATAAAATTCAAAAAGGAAGAGTTAAACCGGGCCTCCATTTGGTATTCAACTCCATTTTTCCCTTAAATAGCCTATAAAATGCGAATTGACCTGTAAACTGACACTAAGGATAATTTTTTTTTTCCTCTGGTCACTTTTAGCTTAGATTTCTTGTCTGAGCTTTTTTTTACAAAACCGACTAACCAGCAGTGAGAACTCGGGGAGTAATTACAAAGTCTGTAGTTTTCCTTTCAGATGTAAATGTTTATATTTTAAGAGTCCTCGGGGGGGACAAAGGAATATTAACATTTAATATAGCACTCTTCGTGTTTATCCATACAGGAAATGTGGGCATCCCCTGGAGGATCCTGGGATTGCTCACAGGAAAACAATCTGAATTGTTAGAATTCTCGAGGGTTCCCTTCTTCCATGGCTGCTGGTCTCAGGAGTACATAGCTGGGCTCCCAGCTCCTGAGCATCCATCTTCTTCTTTTCTAAGTTTTTTATATCCCAAGGAGCCACAGAAAAGCTGTCCCTAAAGACCACTGAATACAACCCTCTCTCCGACTCCTGAGGCCTACCGCCAGATCAAAGCTGAAGACCAGGCAGCCAGGAAAGTCAGGGTCCCCCCCACTCCCGCAGCTCGGCTTTCTTCTTCAGGCCTCCATTCTTTTATATGTCCTGGGGCATTCATCTACCCTTGTGTCTTTATGTATATGCCTGAGGAAAATCAAGCCATGGATGACATAATTCGTGTGAGCCTGTTTGAGTCTGAATCCATCTGAATCTGAATATGGGACCAGTTCTGTTGACAAGGAAAGCACTTGGAGTCAAAATCTCCATTTTCCCAGTTTCCAGAAGAAAACTCTCTGATCCAGGGTCTCGTATAAGGCACATGTCTCTTTGGGCTATATACACAGATGATGCAGCTTTCCATAAGCCCACAGCCCTAAGGAGAAGGTATAAGGTATTCCTAGCAGGGAGAAAACTAACTTTCTCTCCTCGTGGCTTCTAAATCCTTCAGGAACAAAGATTGGGCCTGGCTAGTTACATAGTCAGTGGCCCAAAACAAAATCAGAAACACAACAAAACATATCCACATATAGATACCAGACTCAGGAAAAAAAAAAAAACAGACTTTGAAAAGGTAAGTGGATAGGCTGGAGAGATGACTTAGCAGATAAATGCACTTGTTGCTCTTGCAGAGGACATAGGTTTAGCTTCCAACACTTACATGGTGGCTCGCAACTGGCCTGTAACTCCACTTCTAGGAGATCTGAGGCCTTCTCCTAACTTCCTCAGGCACCAGGCATGTGGTTGCGTACATGCAGGAAAAGCACTCATACACATAAAATAAAATATTTTTATTTTTATACACATAAAACATTTTTGAAGAAACATGGAGAGTGAGTGTTCCGTTACTTACAGACCTTCATCTGTCATACATCCATTCTCCACCAAGGAGTCCATCGATCCATCCACCTACACACCCATCCATACATTTCCTCATCGGTCTATCCACCGTCTATCTATCCATTCACCCACCCCTCCATCAGACCATCTACTCACCCGCTTACCTATTTACCTACACGTCCATCTGCCCACCTATCTTTCTATCCACCCACATACCCATCCACCCATCCATCCACACTTTTATCTATTCAACCCTCCCACCCATCCACTCATCCGCCCACCTGCCCATCCAAGGAAGCGGCTGAACTAAACCCCTTGTCCGATCAGTTCTGCGCTCATTAATAGGGGTACACAGAGAGGTGGAAGCCTGGAAGCAGAAGCCAGAGGTAGGAAGAGGAGTCTAGATGACCTTCTCGAAAGACTCTGAAACACACTGCTAGAAAATTGGGCGAGATTAACTGTGAACTGCCTCTGCACAGTCTAAGACTGAGAAACCACTTGCTCATCATAGAGAGGAGAGAACCTCCAGGCTTCCTAGAGAGACCCGGAAGCAGCTTTAAGATCCAGTCTGACAGCTTTTGCTCCAGAGCGGGATCAGCAAGGCACCAGAGGCTCTCTCGTCTTGCTTCTACAAGTCACGCTGTCGTCTGCCTCTGTGAGTGGACCAGGGTCGCAGGGGCTGTCGTCACCACGGGGTCCTTATTCTGGGATGGTAGGGCAGTCCTAAACGCACTTCGGCGGGCTTGTGACAAGCCGGCTGAGGGTGAAAGGAGTTAAAGGTGACCACTGAGGGTAACAGGTGGCATTTGAGAATGACAAGTAGTGGGTGATGGTGATAGCTGGTAGTTAAGGGTGACCAAGGACAGCTAAGGATGATTGATAGTTGCTGAAGATGACGGATGGTTCTTGAGGGTGACAAGAGACATCTATGAACTCCGGTTGTAAGTATCACCAGATTGGATAAGTCTAATTGCTGCCGCCTCAGAACCGTGCTTAAGTATCAACGGTATACCTTTAAAACTCCTTGCCTGTACTAAACAACAAGCGTACATACCACGGCTGCTGTGATTTGCATCGTAAGGAAGGAGGAGGCAAGGTTAAAAAGTTGTCCAGGGTCACACAAGTAGCTGATGGTAGATCTAAGTCCAGGACCCATATTTCATGATTCCCAATATAAGAATTTTAATGCTGTGTCACACCCCCCAGCCTCATGGAAATAGATAAGGAAGCTCCTCCTTCGCCTTCCTGAGCCATTGCAGAATGCGCTGGTTGTGAAATCGTATACAATCCAGATCAATGTGCACTCTGTACCTATTGCTTCAGGCCACAGACTCTGCCCAGCCCTCTGGGACTGCTATGGAAGGGACATTCGTGATGGAGTCAGATGTCCCTTGGCCTAGTGGATACATGGAACACCTATGGGACTTAAGAGTTGTTGATCGTTCTGTCTCTGGGCCTCAGTTTATTCACTTGCAGAATGGGACCTACTGATTAGCACTGTCCCTTTAGGGCAGTGATGAGCACTTTAGTGACATAGTTTATGAACATGTTGTAATGCAGTGCCTGACACTTATGAAATGGCAGGAGACACCACCGTGGTAGAACGGGGTGGCAGACGTGCTGACTTCGAGACAGGAGGCACAGTAACAGAGAGGACAGACGGGGGCAGTTTGAGAAGCTGTGGCACGCTCATCCATCCAGATCACTAGTCTCTAGTGCACCAGGTACTCTTTGTCCCCGAAGACGGTTCTAGAGAAGGAGTCTACATCCACATAGAGTTCCCATGGTAATTTGAAGAACAGATTGGTAATGGTGACTATAAAATGTTTGCGGGGATGAGAAGATGGCTCGGCCCTTGCCATAAAGTGTTTGTTGTGCAAGCATGAGATGGATGCTGGCTATAATGGCATGTATGTGAAATCTTAGCCCTGGGAAGGTGGGAGTCAGATGGATCCCTAGGGCTCACTGGCTAGCTAGCTGAGCCAAATCAATAAATCCAGGCAGTGAGAGACCCTGTCTCAAAACTAACTAACTAACTAACTAACTAGCTAACAACAACAACAAATGGTTGGGCCTGGAAAGAGGTGGCTCAGCCTCCAGAGGACCTGGATTCAGTTCCCAAAACCTATATTCAGTGGTTCAACTCCAGATGCAGGGGGTCTAATGTCCCGGGTCTGGCTCTGGTGGACACCTGTACATACACAGCATACACAAACACATAAATTGTTTGAAAAGATAAAATAAAAAAGTGAAGAAGGGGAGGAGGAGGAGGAAGAAGAAGAAAAGAAAAAGGAAGAGGAAGAAGGAGAAGGAGAAAGAAGAGGAGGAAGAGAAGGAGGAGGAGGAGAAGGAGAAGAGGAGGAGGAGGAGGAGGAGGAGGAGGAGGAGGAGGAGGAGAAGGAACAGCAGCAGCTAAGGAGGAGCAGCTAAGGGTAAGCTCTGAAACAACACTGTCTCTAACGTGATAAGCACTCACTCGGTGACATAATTTATAAACAAGTTGTAACGCACTGCCTGACACATTAAGGGCTTAGGAAGTTGTAGAAGACACCACTAAGGCAGGATGGAGTGGGCTTGCATGCTTACTTCAAGATGGAAGGAGGCACTCAAGTAGCAGAGAGGTCGACGACTATTTGAAATACAAATACAGGAAGAAGACAAGCCACTCCATTTCATTCCGTTATTGTCAGCACGGTAAAAGAATTGCAAGTGCCTTTTGTGTAATAGATCTCTAGGTGAAGGGAGAGTGTGGTTGGGCAGGAAGACCTGACCCATATAAGGTGATGACAGCTTCACTGTAGCTCAGAATGAACTTGAACTGGTGAAATCTCCTGTCTCTGGCTCCCCAGCGCTGGCATGGCAGGTAGATGTTTTATCTGTATGAAAGCATGGATCGTTTCGTTTTGTTGGGGTGAGGGGGTGTTGCTGTTGTTGTTGTTTTTAGCATACTGACTTTGAACTCTCTAGCTGGAATCTCCTGTCTGTAGCTCCTGAGAACGGGGATTTCAGGTTTGCACTGCTATGCCCCGTTTATGCATTGCTGGAGAAGAGAATCTGGAGCTCCGTACTAGATGATAAGCCTCTACCTATGAGCTTCATCTCCAGCCCAGTTGCTGTTGTTAGCCTGGTTTTTTGTTTGTTTTGGGGGTTTTATTTTGTTTTGTTCTGGTTTTTGGCATGCAAGGCAACTTAGCTCGGTGGTAGAGTATTTGTCTAGCACACAAGGCCCTCGATTCCCTCTCCCAGCACTACAAAAACAAAATAGCTAGCCATTAGGACCTCTTAAACTTTTTCTGCTTTAGTTGGTGTTGGCCAAATGCTAATTGTGCCTCCACATCTGCACTGAGGTGAGGCGCCAGAGGGCAAGCGGCATCGTGGCTTTGAACCACGGGGCTGGAAGAACAGTGTGCATAATCTCCGGTTTTTATTGCTGATCCTTAGATTTAATTAGGTCTCTGTAAAAGGAAAACACTCCAGGTCCTCCAGGTCATATTTCTTCACTCTCTACCTCCAACTCCCTGTGAGATGGCAACTGTTACCCTCGCTTTACCTTAGCGTTATCAGGAGGTCAGGCAGATTGGAAACTTCTCTCTTTCTGCCTCCCGTTCCATAATTAAGATTCCTTTTCTTTAATCATGTGCTTAACTGTTAACCTGTTCCTAAGAAAATGACAGCTCGGGTCGGATGCTGCCTCCCCCATCCCAACAGAAAAGCAATTACTGAGCAAAGCTACGGTTTTTGGAAGAGCTTCCAAGCAGTTGCAGTGATACAGTGTGGCCCCAGGAGGAGTCAGATGGAAACTAAGTAATAAAACAGAAGTCCTAAGCATCAGGAGGATAGAGAGATGCTGTACACTCTTTCTCCTCCTGGCTTATTTCTCAAGGAGATTTCCTGGGTTTTCTATGGACTGTTTTTGCTAAGATCAATCTCTCTCTCTCTCTCTCTCTCTCTCTCTCTCTCTCTCTCTCTCTCTCTCTGTCCCCCACCCCCATCCCTTGCCCTTCTCCTTCTCATCTGTGTGTGTGTATGTGTGTATGTGTGTGTGTTTGTGTGTGTGCACAAGGGCACGTGTGCATATGGAAACCAGAAGGAGTCCGGTATCCACTACTCTCTACCCTCTTATTTTGAGGCAGAGCCTTTTACTGAATGTGAAGTTCTCTTTTTCAGTTAGACCGGCTGGCCACTGAGCACCCAGGATCAGTCTGTCTCTTGTCCCGATACTGGGCTTACAGACACATGCAGACATGCCTGGCTTTGGGGTGGGTGCTGGGGATCTGAATTTGAAACTCAGGTTTTCTCACTTGCATAGCAAAGTCCTTACTTCTAGCCCCTCCCCCTCTCTGTTTTTTAATGTTCTTATTATTGTTATGGGTGAGGCCGCTCCCTAGAACCCCACTTTGTGGCTCCTGACTTCAGAACTTTCTAGGGCTGGAGGGAAAGCTTTGTTTCCAATGATGTTTGTCTTGCTAAATTGCCAATGCTTTTAACCTTTCTATTTTGGCCCTCCCATAGATCAATTCATCAGGTTCTTGCCTCAGATCTCTCTGGAACTAGCTGGAAGGTAACAAGGGGTAACATCAATAGACCTGGCAAGTTTCTGAGTTTGCTTGTGACTGGACATTCCTGACACTTGGCCTTCTGGCTGAACTGGAATGTGTGGTTATAAAAGCAAAGATCAATTCCAATCAATTCCAAATATTTCTCTGTCACAAGGTTTTAATTAGCCTTACCCATGCTTGGGCCCCTTTCAGTGGTATTCTATGGGGATATTTAAAATAGTTTGAACTCTGTTATCTGGCATCTCGTTAGTCATGATGTGTGTGTGTCCTGTCCTTGGGTGTCATTCTTCAAGTACCAGTCACATTGGTTTTTTTTAAGGCAGGATCTCTTAACCGGGATCAGTTAGGCTAGGCTGACTGACAATCGAGCCCCATAGATCTTCTCTGCACCTCCCTAGCCCTGGAATCACAGGTACATGCCATGACGCCCAACTATTTTTTTACATGAGATCCAGATATAAACTGGGATTCTTGTGCTTGCTAGGCTAGCACATTACTGACTGAGCATCTCCCCAGCCCCCATAGTCACAGCTCTTCTTCCAAGGTGGGTCATTTCCAGCATCCCTCCGTCAGAACCATCACCTTCCTCCAGCTTCTCCTATGTGCTACCTGGCGAGGCCTCAATGCCTTTCCATCAAATCTCCTTGGTCCCAGCTGAGCATGCTGGCCCTTAGCCCTTACCAACACCCCTCCAATGTAGCCCCTTGTCACCTCTTGCCTGGACTCTGTCCCAAGCCTCTTCCTTTCCTCAGTGGAAGTCCACTCTTGATCAGAAAGCATGGATACCCTGCTATAAACCAACCAGAGTCTCCGGTTACCTACAGAATGGAGTGAAGACTCCTTAGAAGGATACGAGGCTATTTCTATGCCAATTCCAACTAGCCTCATTCTCCAAGTATATCTGGACATGACAGCCTTGGGTTACATCCCAGCTATCCCAGCTACATGGAGCCCCACGTCACTTGTCTAGCATAGCCTCCCCTACGACACTTCAACCTCTTTGTGATGTGCCCAGAGCCTGTACAAACTCTCTACTTCATGTGAGTCTTCCTGAATCCTGTGGTCCAAAGTCAGCTCTGAGCTTCCCCTTCCAGGACATGACCCCTGACCCCTGACCGGGGTCAGAGTCAGCCCCCCCCCCCTTCTGTCTTCCTGCAACACTCTGCTCGTATCTCTTGGAAAGGTAATTTTGTTTCGCTGTTGATTATGTGCGATGATTTGTACTTCATTGTCCAACGTGCTTTAGGCTCCATCCCACCTATGGATGGCACCATGGTAAGGATGTGGCTGACCCTTTGGGAGCGGTACCCAGAGGGAGGAAGTTAGGTCATTGAGAGTCTATCCTTTATAGCCTCTTCCTCTCTCGCTTTGGTTTTCATCCACCATGGGGTGAGCCTCTGCTCTCATTCACCATGGGGTGAGCCTCTGCTCTCCCCAGCACGATGCTTTGGCTCATCACAGGCTGCAGAACAACAGAGCCAGCTGGCCTCAGATGTACACTCCTGCAACTGTGAGCCAAAATCCAGCTCTCCTCCTGTGAAGTCTCAGGTACTTGTCTTGTTCCTCAGATGTCAGCAGAAGTCTGTCCCCATAATGAGTGCCACAGAGCCAGCACCCTGTGTCACTGAGCCTGGCATCCGTCCCATTCTGTAACTCAACACCCTTCAGGAAGTTAAGTTAAAAATGGTAACGTTAACCAGCATGGATGGCAATGCCTGTTCGATACCTCAGGGCCCTGCTCGCTGTGTCTGTCACAGTCTTACTAAACTGGGTATGTTTTGTGTGGATAAGATTCATCCAGAGTTTAGCAAGTATTTCTTGGGAATCTGTCAGTTTCTGGGTTCAGTGAAGGAATGCCCCTGTAGGAAAGGGAAGGACCCCTTTTCCTTGGAATTTTCATTCTAGGGAAAGAGACACAACTTAAAGACACACAGTTAGTCATGGGGCTTGCCTTGAAGAAGGCAGAGCAGCTGTAGGGTGAGGAGAGCTGAGGTAGAGTGAGCTGAGGCCTCTCTGAGGAAAACCTTACTCCTGAGGAAGCTACCTAGATCATGAGGTCCAGACCTAGAGGAGCCATGGGTCACACTGTGCTAAGAACAGGATATACCAATGAGCCTGGCATGTTGCAAGGAGGAAGCCACATGGCTCAAGCAGGGAGTGTGGATGGTAGAAGAGTGGGTGGTTGAGACAGGTCATAGGGTAAAGGTCAGAGGTCTGGAAATACCAGTTCAGAGTCCCCCAGCATGAGGGACATTTGCTTTCATGGCCACTCCAGTTCCAAAGGAGAGCATTCTGTTTTCAGAAAACAGGACTGGGATGTGAAGCACATGCCTTGCATGTGTGAGGGCTGTGTTCAAACCCAAGCAATGCAAAAGATAAGATGGCTCAGAGATTGGGAGCACTGGCTGCTCCTCCAGAGGACCAGAGTCTATTCCTAGCCCCTACACAGAAGCTCACAACTGTCTGCAACTCCTATTTAAGGGCATTTGATGTCTTCGGACCCCCTCTGGTACTTCATGCCCATGTATACATGAATACATAAGAACACAAAGAAACCAATACGTGCATATATGTATGTGCACAGACACATATAGTGTTCTAAGGTCAGCATTTGATATATTAAAGAGGTCCTCATGTCCTGGTCGTCACTGATTTTCTTGTAGCATAATGACGGCACTTGCTTCATGGGACCCAGCTGCCATCCTCCATGCCATTTTACCCAGTTTTCTCAATGGTTTTTGCTCCCATTCCGAGTAGCCTCAAACCCCTGAGACTGTGGGTGAGCCTTATCTACAGCTGCGACTGTTTGTGAGTGATCCAGTTGGCCTCACTGGCTAGAGATACACTGCACAGATTTCTAGAACCTGTTGATCTCTGTTACCCTGAGTCTCAAGAGCTCCAGCCATGGCTGTATTAGGAAATTTTGAATGAATACACGTCAGAGCTTGAAAGAAAGGATCCAAGAAATGGCATTTGTGGGACAATCATACCATGCTGGGGGTTGGGGGAATCTTGTCTACATTATTCTGTATTATTTTATAAACTTGTCCACAGCAGCTCAACTTTTTGGATGACCCCACAGGCTCAGAGCAATGTTATTGATCCAAAGTTACACAACTAAAAAAGAATCCAGATGCCTGTTCTCTTTCCCCAAAGTCCCTGTTTCAGTGTTTAAGAGTATGGGTTCCTGGTATCGGCTATCCGTTGGGAATGCATGGGAGAGTTATTTATTCTCGGCTAAGAAACAGGGTGATGGCGGTGCTTTTTTGGTAGCTCATGGGGCACATAAAGTGCCCAGTGAGCTGTGTGACACTCGTGGTGAGTACCGCAGCACGTCTGGCCTCTCTCTCTCTCTGCTGTACACTGCTGCTTTTCTAGAAGCACACAGCTTACAGTAAAGTAAGTTTCGAGAAAGTAAAGTGTCCCAGACAAGCTCACAAAACCATCTCAAGGCTGATCCGCCTGCCTCGTTCCCCTAGCCGTTCCCTACATCCTTGAGTTCCCACTGTTCTTATCTTGGCTGGTGCACTCGGACTGACGTCACATGGCTCTTCGCACATGCACCCTTCTTCCAGTGCTGCCCCACCCCATGCTGCACTACAAGCACCCAGATCTTATGCTTCCTTGTTCAAAACAGAGTCACCACAGGTGGTTGGGAAGGGGCGGTGGTTGAGTTCTTTGTTACCGTGTACCTCTGGGTCCATTTCTCTGCTGTGTAGAACAAGTTCTCTAGCCGGTTTCTGTTTGTTACATTCTTGAGAGAAGGTAGTGCTGGAGTCTTGAGATGAGAGAGTCAGCAAATGAGGGAGACAGAAGCAAGACACCCACCCCCAGCCCCACCCCATCAAATGCTCGGAGTACTCTCCCTTGAAGCACTCACAAGGTATCTAGGGTGAAGGGCATGATTTACTACAGAAAGGAATTTTTCTCCCTGTTTTTAAGTATGGAGTTAACAATCACAAAGCACACTGCAGATGCTGGAAGCTTCTACCGAGTTCTATCTTGGGTTTTCTGGTGCACGAGAGAAAACCTTCTCGCAACCCGTTTCAAAGTGATTCTTCCTAAAGGCCCTCATCGGTTCCAGAAATCAACAGTGATGCCTCATGTCCAAAAAGAACTTCGTAGTTTCAAGAGCACCCACACACTCTTTATTTATTTATTTAACCCTTCACATTAACTTTGTCGGGTAGGCAAGGAAGGCAAGTCTATGTTTATATTACCCAAGAAGGAATCGGAAGCCAAGGAGTAAGGGGGTGTGGCTAATGTGGCAGGAATCGGAAGCCAAGGAATGAGGGGGTGTGGCTAAAATGGCAGACCTGTGACTGGAAGCACGTGTCTCAGAGTATTTCGTGCACTAAACGTATTCTGTTGTTTGGGTTGGGTTTCTCGGTGCTGGCCACAGGACCAGAGATTCACACAAGCTGAGTACATGTGCTATCACTGAGTAGCAGGCCAGCCACATTTCTCTTGTTCGCAAAGGCGAAGCATGCTTATACAGGGTCGTAATGTTGTGGCATTCTCCTGCAGGTCCAGTTGTCCCTTCGCTGTCTCGTATGGACGCCCCAAGGTTCCCAGAGGAAACCGTCCTCATTACTGGAGGAGGAGGATATTTTGGCTTCCGGTCAGTTCATCTACAAAATACCCTCATGGAATTCTTCTATTGGATAGTTTTCGACTCTCACGTTTATACACGCTTATATACATGTACATGTTTATATAGTTCCAAAACAAAAGTGAGCTATGGTGATCTCTCCTCAGGCTTGAAATTTGAAAAAAAAAAATATTTACTCCACTTCAAGAAACTTTATTTTTGAAACCTGTAAGTTGGGGCCTGGTGACTATTCATGTCACCAAAGATAGTATTCTTAAAGACAACTGTATTCATTTTTTTTCTTTCTCATTATTGTGACCAAATAAATATCTAATATGAACCAATTTAAGGAGCAAACGTATAGCGGGACTCATGGTTTAAAGGAATACAGTCCCTCACGAGGGCAAGGCATGGCAGCAGGATGTGAGGCAAGTAACTGCTCACAGTGCCCCTGAAATGAGAAAGTAGAAAAGCAACTGCGAGGTGGGTCTGTCTATCAAATCCCAAGGTCAACCTCTGGCAGCTCACTTTCTCCAACAAAACATAGCCACCAGCTGGGAACCAACTGCTTAACGACCTGAGCCTGTGGGAGACGGTCCATATTTAAATCACAGTAGGCAGTCTGTCACAGAGTTGTTGTGATTCCCGTTGTCGAAGGGAACGTTGTTTTTTTTTTTTTTCCCAAAATCTAAATAAGACCTGTAGAGATGAATACATAGGTAAGTGGCTCTGGATGAGTTAACTTGACTCAGGTGAGCCTACCTTGTTGGCAAGTCATTTCCTACACTTTCCTTAGACACCACCGAAGGGTCACCTGACCTAACCCTGATCTTTCTCACCTCAGCCTCGGCTGCACTCTGAACCAGAAAGGAATCCATGTGATCCTGTTTGACATCAGCGAACCATCCCAGAACCTTCCAGAGGGAATCACATTCGTCCGTGGAGATATCCGCTGCCTCTCTGACCTGGCGGCGGCTTTCCAGGATGCTGACATCACGTGCGTGTTCCACATCGCCTCTTACGGCATGTCTGGGAGGGAGCAACTGAACAAAACCCGGATCGAAGAGGTCAACGTGGGTGGCACAGAGAACATCCTCCAGGCCTGCCTGGAGAGAGGAGTGCCCAGCTTAGTCTACACGAGCACATTCAATGTCATCTTCGGAGGTCAAGTCATCAGAAACGGGGATGAGTCCCTGCCTTACCTGCCTCTTCACCTGCACCCGGATCACTACTCCAGGACCAAATCCATCGCAGAGAAGAAGATCCTGGAAGCCAACGGCTTGGCCTTCAAGCAAGGCAACGGTATACTCAGAACCTGCGCGATAAGGCCAGCTGGTATCTATGGGGCCGGAGAGCAAAGGCACCTTCCCAGGATAGTGAGTTACATTGAGAGGGGCCTGTTCAGATTTGTGTACGGGGACCCTCAGAGCCTGGTAGACTTTGTCCACGTAGATAACCTGGCGAAGGCACACATTCTGGCCTCTGAGGCTCTGAAAGCCGATAAAGGCCATGTTGCCTCTGGGCAGCCCTACTTCATCTCAGACGGTAGACCTGTAAATAACTTTGAGTTCTTTAGGCCACTGGTTGAGGGCCTGGGCTACACATTCCCATCCACCCGCCTGCCTCTAACCCTCATCTACTACTTTGCTTTCCTGGTAGAGATAGCCCACTTCATTGTGGGCAAGCTCTACAACTTCCAGCCCTTCCTCACCCGCACTGAGGTTTATAAAACTGGCGTCACACATTACTTCAGCTTAGAGAAAGCCAAGAGAGAGCTAGGCTACCAGCCTCAGCCATTTGACCTGCAGGACGTGGTAGAGTGGTTTAAAGCCCAAGGTCATGGCAGAAGGTCTGGAGGTCAAGACTCAGAGTTTATTCTGTGGGATGGAATTCTGGTCCTCCTCTTGGCACTTTCTCTTCTTGTGTGGATCCCTCCTTCCACAATCCTGTCCATATGAAGAGAAAAACTATCCACAGGAGTTGAACCTCACTTCCTGGGATGGTTTTCAAGGATGCAGGTTTTGGAAGATGTGTCACATTATCTGGTAACCATTCCTGGGTCTTCAAATTACTTCTTAACAATGGGTCTTTAAACTTCATGACCAGGGATGGGCTACCTTCTTGTGAGTCGTTGATCAGGGAGACTCCTGAGGCCTCCAAACCAGTATTGGTTGTTGCCAGTGCTCTTGGTTGTCCACCGGAGCTAAATAGTAAGACTCTATTGCCTAAGGTACCATACACCTTAACTGAAGCACATAAAGATATCCAGCTGGAACTGAACTGGAAGCTTCCTCTCTGCTTACTAGATTTCATAGTTCCAGAAGGGTCTATACAGGCTGCTGGAAGAAAACAGTCTTATTTAGCTGTGGACCCTGCAAACAGCACTACCAATACTGGGCAAGGTGTACCCTCTAGTGCAACAGTGGCATGTCTGTTAGGGGAGTAACCAACTACTTCAGAATTGGATTGGAGGCTGGTCCCAGGGGAGGGAGTTTGTTCCTGGTGCTGTAAACCTGGCCAAAAGCTTGTGGATAGTGAGGTCATAGGCCAAGTGTGACCTATTGCTGTTATTTTGCTGGATCCGGAAGCCGTACCCGCAAACTGCTCTCTAACTTCTTATGTTTATGTCTGTAGATTAGTGCTACTCTCAGCTGTGATCAGAGACGCTTCTCCCTGCAGTGGGCACCAGTTACACTTCGGAGGTTCATAACTGGTCAAAGCACTGAGTGTTGAGTATTCGTCCATAGGCAGGACTCCCTCAAAGCCTCACAGGACTTTGTAGCAAAGTGGGTGGAAAGGATGCAAAAGCAGGAGGAAGCGGGGCAGGTGTTAGGGAGACAGTCTCCTGAGAATGACATGACTACTGTCCTCATGACCTAACGGTAGCTGTGAGATAGTACTAGACTCTATACGATAGGATCTGTCACCATTCTGCCATGGGAAGGAGAGAGGCTCGTGGTATCCACTCCTCCCTGAAAAGCTGAAGGTGGTTGGTGGTTTCTGGGGAAGAGGAGACACTTTCTCTAGTGGTTCAGTTACTTACTCCTAAGTTGCTCCATGTTCCTGTAAGTAAATTTAATGAAACTCTTTGGGACACGGACACACAAACACACACACACGGTTTAGAAAGGAATCTAGTTGGGAAGAGATTAGGAATGGGACAAAAGAGGGTGTGGGGGTGAATCTGATCAAACTACATTATATACATGTTCGAAAATGTCATAGTGAAACTCTTATATACTTAACCCATGCTAATAAAAAAGGAAAAATGAATTCTTGGATTAAATATTCACTGCTTTCCTGTCTCAACTGACCCTGTTGGGACACAAGAAGACACAAAGGTACATTGGAAGTTTGGTATCTGTGTCCTTGAACCCTAGTCAAATGTAGCAGGAAGTCACTCTGAAGCCAGGAAAGGGTGTAAGCTGGGTTAGGAACTCTGGCTCGGATGTCTCAGGAGCCGAAGAGGAACCCTCATACACTGCGTGTTCACCTCATACACTGTGTGTGTACAAAACAGTGAAATTCAGACTGATATGGAATAGCCCCCACTGAGGCTTGGATCTTATCCCTAGCAGACCAATCTCAGGGAGCAGTGACTACTCCAGGGAGGAGCTAGCTATGCATAGCATAGGGTTTTAGGATCCTCTAAAACCTCTGCCCCTGGTGGTACAAGGGCATCCCACCTGTGCGACCATGGGTCATACTGATGTTAAAGCAGAGAGACAGCCTGCTGCATAGGACCCTTCTGAAGATTAAATTAGCCATTTACAGCACACACAACATGCACATACATGCACACACACACACACGTGGACATACACATATGTGGGAAAAAAGGGGCCGCAGTGGAGTCCGGGGCTTTCCACACGGTGGGTCCCACATACAGGAGAAAGTCTAAGGTTCCAGAGGCTGGGGGCTTTGGTGACTGCAGGTCCCCATGACACAAGGGAGTCCTTGCTTCCAAAAGGGTTTATTTTCATGGTGGATGGTGGATAGATCTGGATGTACCCCCCCCCACCCCGAATCTCAGGGCAGACCTGAGTTAAATAGAGAAAGGGGGAGGTTCTGGGAGGAATGCTTAATTTGCTCCGCCCTCTGGCCTTCATTAGTATGTAAATCCCTAGGGCCTGAGGCCTGTAGTCACTCTACCTGTGCACTTTGGGAGGGGCTGTAATGGCCTACATGAGACAAGACTGTGTGTCAGGACTCTGGGTTCTGGGGATGTGGCCGAACACCTGCCGTTTCTCCCTTGGAGTCTCGGGGTTCCAGGCCCATGCCCAGCCATTAACCAAGATACCCTTACATAGTCCCACACACATACATGCACATGCACACACACACATGCACACACACACATGCACACACACACATGCACACAGGCACATATACATACATAACCACATGCACACGCAGGCACATATACATACATACACACACATGCACACACAGGCACATACACACACATGTACACACATGTACACACACATGCACATACACACACAGGCACACACATACATGCACACACATGCACACACACATACATGCACATACACACACAGGCACACACAGGCATACACACACACATGAACGCATGTCACCATTGTTACCAGTATTGTCACCATACACTTTTTCTGAAGTGTCTCTTCCTGGGAGCATTCTCTTTGGAGGGTCTAGTGGTGCTGAAGTTTCTGGAATGTCTTTGAATATCCCCCAGGAGCCCTCAGCAGTGTGTACTTTGTGAAATCCCACTGTAGCTCCCCTGCAGCGCTGCTTGCTGGGGAGAGTGTGGGCTCTGAAGGAAGCTTCCAGTGAGGAACAGTGGCAGCATTGTCTGGCCACCCAATGAACTGCTGTGGAAGATGCTTATATTGCACAGTTACCAAGGAACCAGAGGAGGAAGAAGAAAGTCTTTACTGCTCAGAAGTTTCATCTGCAGGAAGATAGAAGTAAAGGATGCTGGGATGATTGCAGTGGATGGTACACAGAGTGATTCTGGGAGAATCTGAGAATCTTAATAGCTCATGGTCCCTGTTGGATCATGAATACTTTGGGGATGTCCTGAACTTGATGCCACAAGACACACATCATCAACGTCTGTTTAGAAGGCTTGGTTGTCTATGTCTGGGAAATGGAACTGGCCACACCGGCCCTTTCTGTGAAGTCGTCCATCTCACGGTGTTTGTTGAACATAAAGGATGAAGTGTTGGGGGTGCTCTTACCCACGGAACCTACCCCGTAAATAGGAGGGCTGCATTGCTCTTAGAATGGTATGTTTGTAGTCTGTCTCTGGGCTCTCTGAGGAAGGTGGCTCCTCTATCAACTAGGCTTTCAGGGTAGGAGCACCACAAGATGTCCATGTGAGAGGATTTCTGACACACAAGCCAAGTACTGCTGTCATTGAGCACTACCGTGGGCACCTCAGAATATGTTCTCAGCAGCATCTCGTTTAGAGCTTCCGAGTGGCCCAGCACGTGACACAGGAGAAGGTCTCATTTACATGTCATGGGGGCATCTCTATATGACTTCTGAACATTGTCATGATGTAGCTTCTGGCGTCCCCAAAACAGGTAATCCAGGAGGGTGAGGTGGGTCTTAAGAGTCACAAACTGTCACACCCCCGCCCCAGTAGTAGTACAGGTCAGTCTTCTCCCATGGGGGAGAGGAGTGGCTAGGATGTATTGGGAACAATCATGGAGTTTGGGCTATGACCCCCACCACATCAGTGATGTTCTAGGATCTGTAACCTGTATCTGCAACTCCAGTGCTTGGCCTGCTTCCTGCTTGTTCCAGACACTTCTTTGCATTTCATGTTCCTTCAGTGGACCTGACAGTGCTCATTACAAATGTAATTATTCTGAACGCTGTGTTTCCCCTTAGTCTTGTTGTCCTTCATTCCATTAGACAAAAGTGTCACCCACAGATCTCTGTGAGATGAATACTCTACTAGAACAGCTGCCCAGACCACTGAGGGACCATGCCCAAAGTTCCTATAAATTGTGTCATCTGAAAGGGCCCACCCACAAGGTCCACGGTATTAAAATATCTCTCAACCATAAACTCAATCACACACCGTAATTTCCACAACAAAGTGTTAATGTTAATGTCCATGTGAGACATTAACTGGTCAAACTGCTTAGCTCTATTCTGTGAATACGACCGTGAGGGTCATACAAGGTCATGGGCACCAGATGGCAGAGGTTATGGGAAGCCAGGGTTAGCCTACCACAGATCTGGTGGGCTGTGTGTTTTCTCCCTCCTCCTAGGGGTAAATACACGTCTGGTACATAATTTACTGTCTCCAACCTTCATAAATAGCCCATCATGGTACAATCATGTGTGTTAGCTAAGTCAAGACTAGGAAAGACCTAGAAGGTAACTGGAGACATTTTACACGGGATAATGGTGACAACTGAAAATCCTGTGGAGTGCTCAGGAAAGTGGGAGGCGATACGGATGGACTACAGAGTGACCGGCAATCTCCCCACAGATAGGCCGAAGGCTGACCGCATCTTTGAGTGTGTGTGTTCCGGTTTACTGATGCATCAGACGCACGCCTATGGAGTCAGAAGCTAACCTTTTGTGTCGTTCATCAGAAACTATCCACCTTGTTTCTTGAGACAGGGTCTCTTTCTTACAAGCTTACAATTCACCAGGCAGGCTGGACTAGCTGGCACCCTTTGTAACAAGTAACCTGGCACTTCCATGGGTATTAGCACCGCATCCAGGCCTGACCAATCAGAAGGCTGCTTGTAGTCATCTGACCAAGAAGAGCCATTCAGCATCCTCTCAATCTTCCCCAGCACCTGGTCCCCAAGGCTCCATGGATGCCAGAGATAAGCCCTCCCTGCTTAGGTTGTTCCACTGGAAGGGCACGTGGTTAGTGCTAGCATAGTTCTCCCTCCCAGGAGAGAGAGGCCTAAACTCAGTTGATGGTGTCTGGGCTCCTGAGTCACTCGAAGTTGGGGAAGAGAAGAGCCTTCTCAGCCACCTAACTTCAACAAATCCATCCACAAGCATCTAAGCCATGAGCCGCAGCGTTTCTGCGTGGGACTTTTAAAGTTAGGTTTCCCAGGCACCAAAAAAGGTCCTGTCTTAGTGTCTCCGTGGTTTCTAAGCACCTGGGCCCAGGTGAGCACATGTGTGCCCTACGTTACCCTAGTTTCCTCTGCATCCTCTTCCTGACAGAAGGGGACAATTTGATAACATCTGCGGAACTGAACATTCTCTTGAGGTTTTCTTCCAGAAGTGGTTGTTTCTTAGCTTTCAATCGCGTTTGAGTTGTGTTAAGCAAATCACATGGATTTGGCCAATTAAACAGTCTAGCTCTCTTGTTCTATAAGAAAATAAACAAAATGTCCTCTTCCTCGTAACACAGACACCCTATCAGGGCAGGAAACAGGCCTGTTCTGTGTACTGGAACACAGCCTCTGGATCATATGTGCAGTAAACTCTACTGAGCAGGTGGGTGCATTGACAGCCAGCTAGTCTCCCCTCTCTGAGATCGCCACTAATGGCCTATGCCTGTGACTCTTAACCCTACCCAGTAAAGACACTCGAGGTCCGGTTTAAAATGCAGGCTCGGGGATGTCTACAAAACGGCAGGTGAATGAGCTCTGAAATTGTTCCTTTTCTCGTGAGAACCTAAAAAAATGAGGGTGAGATGATTAGGAAGAGTGACGTCAGAAAGCTTTATGTGTACTTTACCGCCGTAAGACAGATTTGTGTTGGTTGGGATGCTGCCCCCAGGTGCCGGTGCCCGTGTGTGTGGCGGTCTAATTATGCGTAGGCCACTGGAAGTACCACTATTAGGAGGTGTGGCAGTATTGGAGGAGGTATGGTCTTGTTACAGGAAGTGTGTCACTGTGGGGGTGGGCTTTTAAGTTCCTATGCTCAGGCTCCTCCCAATGCAGAAGAGAGCCTCCTCTCGGCTGCCTGTGGAAGCCAGTCTCTCCTGATCACCTTCAGATCAAATTACAGAACTCTCGGCTCCTCCAGCACCATGCCTACCTGGATACTGCCACACTTTCCACTATGATAATGCACTGAAAGTCTGAACCTGTAAGCCAGCCCCAATTAAATGTTGTCCTTTAGAAGAGTTGCCTTGGTTAGGGTGTGTTTTCACAGCACTAAAACCCAAACTAAGACAGTGTGGTGGTGCTGGCGGTGGTGGTGGTGGGGTGTGTGTGTGTGTGTGTGTGTTTGTGTGTGTGTAGGGGGGGTGTATGTGTACAAATGTATATAAGACAGAAGACAACTTTGTCCTTCATCCG